TCCATAACTTGTCCCCTACTCGTGGTAAGCCTGATCCTCGGGCTATTCCTTGTGTTTTTCTTGGTTATCCTTTATCTCAAAAGGGGTATCGTTGCTATGATCCCATTGCTCGCAAGTACTATGTTTCCATTGATGTCTCATTCTTTGAGAATCAACATTTTTTCTCGGTTTCTCCTCAGGGGGAGAGTAGGGTTGAAGAGAAACAGGCGACGATTCAAATTCAACTACCTCCTTTACCCGATCTTCCTCCATTCTGGGTTTTTCATCGTCGCCATAAGAGCCAACAGAATTCAAGAGCCATGGAGCCTGACACTATGCAACCAACATCATCGGATTCACCCGAGGCAGATCCGTCTCATCAGCCAAGTACACTTGCTCCCTTGATATATCTGCTCCTTTAAATGTTGATTCACCTGTCACCAATGATCTTAATATTCCTATTGCTAAGACGAAGGGTGTTAGGTTTTGTACAACTAATCATCCTATCTTTTGTGTTCTATGAGCATGATTGACAGGTTCAAGAATGCCATCTTAAAGATTGGTTTTTCTCAATCTCAGGTTGACCACACCTTATTTATTAGAAGAGTTGATGGTAGAGTAACAATGTTGATAGTATATCTTGATGGCATTGTTGTGACAGGTGATGATATCACAGGTATCTTTCAGTTAAAGTCATTCCTTGCTTCTGAATTTGAGATTAAGGATCTTGGTGATCTCCAATACTTTCTTGACAGTTACAAGATCCAAGAAGGGGACTTTTTCTGTCACAAAGGAAATATGTACTTGATTTACTTCATGAGGTTGGGAAATTAGGGTGTAAGTTTGTGAAAATTCCAATTAATCCCAACCACAAGTTGAACTCTATTGAAAAAGAAGTTCTTCTAGATAGGGGGTATATCAGAGATTGGTGGGACGCCTTCTATATCTTTGTTTGACTAGACCTGACATATCCTATGTTGTTAGAGTGGTTAACCAATATATACATGAACCCAGGATATCTCATATGTAGGCAATTAACAGAATTTTAGCCTACCTGAAAGAATGCCCTAGCAAAGGGATGTTGTATTCCAACCATGGCCATCTAAAGATTGAGGCTTATACAGATACTGATTAGGCAAGGTCCATCAATGATAGAAGATCCACATCCGGTTATTGTGCCTCAGTTGGAGGCAATGTGGTTTCCTGGAGAAGTAAGAAACAATTTGTGGTTGCTCGTTCTAGTGTTGAGGCAAAGTACAAGGCAATGGCTCATGGAGTGTTTGAACTACTCCGTTTGAAGACTTTATTGACTGAGATGGGTATCTAAGCAAACAGCCACAAATATTGCTCACAATCCTGTCCAACATGATCATACAAAACATATTGAGGTGGATAGACACTTTATTAGAGAAAGAATTGCTAGTGGAGAGATTTACCTTCCTTTTGTAAGGTCAGAAGACTAACTAGCTGATTGCCTCACTAAAGGTGTTCACCATCCAAAGTTTTCTAAGAACCTTGCCAAGTTGAGCATGATTGACATATGTGCTCAGTTTGAGGGGGAGTGTTGAGAAGGGATAGACAAGGGTATTTTTGGTTTTTTTTTTCCTTTCTTATACTTTCTCAGTATTTGGGCACCCATATAGGGGCCTTCTTGTAATTAT